TCTTGATCAGCATGATGAAATTAGGCTCCACCAATATGAGCAGAGGTATGGGGGCTACTGTGTAGGGATACACAAAGGAACAGTCTACCTGCTTTGTGTGTGCTTGTTTGCCAGATTTGTGGCTGATGGTGCACACTTTTGCAGAAGTAAATTTCACCAAAAAACAAATAAATACCCTGGTGGAACTAAAATCTCAAGAGCTGCGGAAAAGACTGGGGATGTACTTCAATGGTTAAGTATCTGTTTCCCTACTAAATGCAAAGCCCTGGTTTGGATCTCTAGCCTTTCAAAAAAACAAGAAACAAGCATTTTCTATAAAGCAAAGAAATAAACAATAAAATAAAAAGGAAGCCTATGTGATATGAAAAAATATTTGTAAATCATATATCTGATAAGAGTTTAATATCTAATATACATCAAAACAAGTCAAAACTCTTACAATTCAGTCCGTTACCTGTGGCTCATGCTAGCTATTCAGGAACCGAGATCTTTTGTGTGTCAGCCCAAACAAACAAATCCATGAGCTTCATAACTCCAATTCACTAGCCAAAAGATGGAACTGGAGGCGTGGCTCAAGTGATAGAACGCTGGCTGTGAGAGGAAGAGCCCATGTCTCCGAGTTCAAGCCTCAGTAACAGTGTGAATGTGGGCACATATGAGTGTGCACATGCACATATACACATACACACATACAAATACACACAACACAATAAAAATTTTAAAAACCATCAAACTCTTATAATTCAGTTTAACCTTGGAAAATAACATCTGAGCAGACTTCTCCAAAGATATAAAAATAACTTACAGGTATACAAGAAGATTCTCCACAGTACTAATCGTTCGCAAAATGCAAATCAAAACCACAATGAGATAATATCTTACATCTGTTCGAAGAGTTATTAGTCAAAAAGATAACATCTGTTGATGGGGATGGCTGTATCCATGATCATTGCACAACTGAGATACCGAAATATCCACCAGCAGACGAATGAATTTAAAAAGAGTGGTATCTGCATACAAATAGATACTAGTCAGCTTTTTAAAATCCTATCATGTGTGACAACATGAATGGATGTAGACGACATTATTCTGAATGAAGATGCCTGCCATAGAAAGACAAACATTCTATAATTCCACTTAGATGACTATTTAGATTTCAGTGGCTGTAGAAAAATATTTGAAAAAGGCAATTTAGAAGGATGAAAAGTCTATTTGGGCTCATGGTTTCAGAGATTTTAATCCATGGTTGGTTGAATTCTCTTTTATGTGATTTTAAGGAGACATAACTTCATGATAGGGACATGTGGTAGAACAAAGTTACTCACCTTACAGCTAAGGAACAAGGAGAGGAAAGGGAGAGAAAAAGGGAAGGAGGGAGGCTGGAGCTATGATCACAATGTGCTTCTCAAGAGTATGTCCCCCAAATGAACCTACCTTCTTCCAAATAGATCCTATCTTTTAAAGTTACCATCACCTCTCACAGTACCACACATAAGCTAGTAACCTAGCCTTTATCATATTGGACTTGCAAGGACACTTAGGTCCAAACCACAGTCTAAGTCATTGAAATGGAGTAGAATGATTGTTGTTAGGATGGGTGAAGAATTGCTCACTGGTTGTAAAGAATCAGTTATACACAATAAATATGTTATGGAGATATTCTATACAACATAGCACCTAAAGAGTAGTCAGTACTGTTATTACTATAGTAGTAATAGTACTACTATTAGTACCATTAGTAGGTCAGTACTACTATTGCTATCCAGTAATACTTAAAATTTCAAGATTGTAGTTTTCTTACCAAAATAGTAATAAAAATCCTCCAAAGTGTATCACAGTAGGGTTTAGAGATGGCTTTAAATATGCAAAGCTCACCTGAATAGTAGTAGTTGAGACTCTAAGGATCTGCTTCAGGGGAAAGTAGGTAATGTTTAAAGGTACAGAAAGAATGGACATTTGAACAAAGAGCTATGGACTTGTATGAAATGAGAGGCTTCTTATAAAAAAAATCTAATCTCTAATTTCTTCTATATGATACTTTATATAAGTCCCTTATTTACATCCATGGCTAGAAGTTGCATACAGCTTCATTTGTTCGACTCCAAAACTTCCATTTTTTCACATAGAGTTACATTTTCATTTATCACCAACACATGTAAAATTTTGATGATGGTTTTGATAGCTGCCCAAATGCTGTGAACTACTGGTGAAATGAGGTTCCTGAAGGTGTTCTACTAACCAGTTTTGTGGATATAGTTTTATTTAGGACATGCCCTTAGGAGACTTAGTGAGAAGCTTCAGTAAATAGTAGTGTTCCCAGACTTTAAAGAAGGCAGATGAGAAAATAGCTAGAATACTCAATACCACAAATGTTTTGTATGTCTTTATGGCATCAGTGTTGTTCAAAACAGTCAACCTCTCCTCCAACTTTGAGACCCTCTATGCATTGCTGGACAGTGGAAATTATCATTATCATCCTTTTCTGCTTCAAGTTGCTATTATTCATTATGCATTTGTCATATGCCAAGGACCTTATGAGTGTTTTGTCCATACAGGTAATTTAAGCAAAAAAAAAAAAAAAAACCAAACCTTTGGAGGAAGGTAGTTTTATTATTCCCACTTCAAAGTTTGAAAACTTAAGGCACAAAAGGTAAATATCCTTAGGACACACAGCTAGTGAACAGTACAGTCTGAATGTGGACCTGGAAGGATGAATTAAGGAGTCCAGACCTCTTACATACTCTGAAAAGATGTCATAGAAGTCTAAGTATGGGCTAGTTTCTCAACCCTCCATAGCTAATTAGCTCTACCTTTTAACTGACTATTTGAAAGTGCCATTCAAATTGACTACTAACTATTCAAACTGACTTCAAATTTTCTGTTTGAAAGTACCTTTAAAATCAAAGTGCCTTCCTCCAGGTACCAATCTCTTAATACTTATTATCAATTTTCTTTTGGTAGACATACAGAAAAACTCAATTCGATATGGTCCATATTACCTCCTTACTAAATAGGCACTCACGTTCATCAAGATACCAAGTTGTCTGTCTCAGTTCCCTCAAGTGTACAAAACCGTTTACATTGCACTACTCAATAGGGCTGCTATGTGGAGGATTAAATGAGTAAATGCACAAAATGGGCTTGGCCCTGTGCCTGATACAAAGCAAACACTACACATTATTGTTATTATTGCTATTAATTATCATTAACATGGAGAGGCACTGACTTCTTAATAAAGTATAATCAGAAAACAAAATCCACATTTGTAATACTATTACAGTTGATAGAAGGTATCTATTTGTGTGTGTGTGGGGGGGGGGGGGGGAGTTTACAGGGCTTGAACTCAGATCCTGAGTGCTGTCCCTGAGCTCTTTTGCTCAAGGCTGAGCCACAGCTCCACTACTGTTTTTGAGTGGTGAATTGGAGTCTTATGGAGAGTTTTCTGCCTGGGCTGGCTTTGAACTGTGATCTTCAGATCTCAGCTTCCTGAGTAGTTAGAATTACAGGTGCATGCCACCAACACCTGGCCTAAATTTTTAAAAATATAAACACCTTATTTAATAGCTAGCATGCATTGATCACTTATTAGGTAAAAAAAATTGAGCTACACATATATAGAATTTCATTGGATCTTAACTATGTTCCTGCAAATGACTACAGCACCAAGAAATTAAGTAATCTGTCTAAGCCCCTCCTTAGGAATTGGGCCTTCATTTATAAAATTTATAAACGTCTCTGCAAATATGTACTTTTAGGTATTTTACCAATAATTCCTTTCACACTTTGATATTTATTACTGTCCAAATATTTTTCCATGTGCCACAATAATTAAAATGATAAGTTATCACTGGTTCCAGTTCTAAATATTTCATGAACCACTACAATTGCAATAAAAGGAGACTGAATTTAGAGTTTCAAGCCTATACTATAATCCAAGCTACTTGGGAGGTGAACATAGGGTCACTTTCTGAGAATGGCCATAGGCAAAAATTCAGGATTCAATATGAAAAATAAAGCAAAAATGCCTAGCCTATTGGTCGAGTTGTATAGCACTTGCCATCATGAGGCCCTGAGTTCAAAACCCCTTAAATGAGGGAGAGTATTGCAATCTTTAATATAACTTGGTGTAGGGGGGGGTATCATTTTCTTTCTGTTGATTTTCCTCTTGATAAAAAATAAAATAAAAATAGAACTAAATAATAGGCCCAAGAACTAAAATTTTGGTTCATTATTATTTAAAACCTGCTCTTAGGGAAGAATTGCACCCCAGCCTGTCTTCCCAAGCACCCAGGAGGCAGAGGCAGAAGAACTGTAAGTTGGAGACCAGACTAGGCCACACAGCTAGGCAATGTCATTATAAGTAAATAAGTATGTAAGTAAATAAATGGTATATTTTGAACAGCATAAAATATATCCTTTTTTTTTTTGTCAGTAATGGGGTCTGCTTATGTGGTGCTGAAGAATTGAACCCAGAGCCTCAGCCACCTTCCCAGCCCTCCATTTTTGTATACTATTGTTTTATACTGTAGTTACTACACACAAATTCTTCTAGGTCATTTGCCACTAACCATTCACACTGGAAACATGAGACTAGAATCAGATAAACCAAACTGTACTATGTGAACAACTTGGGCTGTCTTTTCAGAGCCCAAGTGTTCTGTGACATATGCAGGGCACTAGTTAAAAGACTGGGATAATGTGTGTGAAGGACCTGGCAGTTAGAAAACTGATGTTTGCATCTTTCTAGATTTCCTTTCTTGGTTGTAAATCACGTAAAAATGGTTAAGTTTTATTTTTAACACACTATGATTCGTTTCTAGTCAAGGTAACCTATATAGTTCTTAACTCCGAGTGCCAAAAGAGATTGGCAAGACAAAAATCCACCTCTCTACTTCCAAAGGCCTGCTGAGGGCTCGGAAAGCGCTGGGAGGACCTCCGCTATCCCAGCATTCACCGCGCTCCCTCAGCAGCTCTCGCCCTGCGTCGTCTCGATGGTGAGCACCAGCTTCCGCCAGGGCCTTGGCGGCGGCGGCGGCGACTTTTGAGTGCGGTAAACGTCTTCTAAGTTGGCGGCCGGATCGCGCGGGGCCGAGCGTGGAGGGGCGCGATGTCCGAGAAAAAGCAGCCGGTAGACTTGGGTCTCCTGGAGGAGGACGACGAGTTCGAGGAGTTTCCTGCCGAAGGTGAGCGTGGTGGGTGGCGTGGATGGTGACTCAGGCCTGCAGGTGGGGGCGCGGGAGCCGGGGCCTAGCTGGGGTCGGGGTGGCGGGGAGGGAGGGGACCTCAGCCCCTCCCGTTGCTCGGCTCCGGGGGTCCGTGACCTTTCCGTTGGCGAGGCCCGGGGCTGCCGGATCACCACTCTTGAGTAGCCGGTGCTCCTCGAAGCGGGGCTTGGGGGCGGGGGAGGCGAACCCGCGGCCCGGTGCGGATGGGCCCTCGGCGGCGCAGCCAGCTGACCCGCCACCTCGCTCCCGTCTCCACGCCCTGCCTCACATTCCCTTGGTTTAGCAGCCTTCTTTGGCTTTTCAACTTCTGTGGAATGAAGTTGTTGCGCCTACTTGAGACAGTGCGGTTTCTCCTAGGACTCTAAAGCTAATGAAGCCCGGGATGGAGGGAGCAGGATTCTAGGATATTGGCTTGGGTGTTGAATCCTCCTTCTTGACTTCTGCTGGTTCCTCACGGCTTTACAGGACGCTAGATTGCTACACGTTCATTAACTTCCCAGCAGTAGAGGAGCTTTAGTTTTCTCATTGTAGGTGAAAGCTACAATTTCAGCTAATATTTCTTTGGGGGACTAAAGTACATTGACAGTTCCTTACAAGTAAATTCTAGTTGGTGGCTGTGTAATATTCAGGTCGTTAAGCAGGCGCTTAATGTGTTAAGGATCTTTGTGAAATGCATTTTCCAGATTCTCGATTATTTAAACTGAAACTGGACTTTATGAGGAAGTCAAATCAAATTCCTAGGCAAAATTGATCTAAGTATGTTTTGGGAGGCTTTTACATGATTGGATATTTAGGACTGGAGAGCAACTTAGTGGAGAAGGTTTTCATTTTTCATCCATTGTAAAGTCAGGTTCTTGGTAGAATGGAGATGAAAACAAATAATTTGCTTGGAACTTGCTTCGAATACTTTTTCACACAAGACACAACCTTGTTGATTTTTTTTTTTCCTCTGACAGATGTAGATGAGAGAAAAATGAGAAGACAGTTTTTTGCATTTTTAAAAAATTCTCTTCTTCCTTTGTCAGAAGCCTTCCTCCTTGCTGGAGTGACTTCTTCATTTTGTTCATCCTCTGACAAACCAGCTGTACCATCCTCCTGTACCAGATTGGACTGATGAGCTTGGTCTCTTGACACCTCATCTGGAACCAGGCCCATTTTTACATTTGGACAGATACTCTCAGTTTGCATTTCCATCCACAGTTTATCTTTCATAAACTTGCTTATACTAAACATTAAACATAAAGTTGTTGCCAACTTTATAAATGAAAAATTAAATCCTATTATTTTAATTTGGACTTATTTGGACTTAATTTGGACTTTACATTTTGTACAGAGTTTATATGTTTTGCATGTTTTACATGTTTTGTGTGTAATATGTATTACAGTGTGGAGGATTTATAAATGTTGGAAATGCTGTTTTGTGATGTTCAGCTCATATCACTTAAGCTGGATTCCACATAGTAGGTATTTCTTGTTGATAAGCCAAATCTTTGTTTTCCTGTAAACAGATGACAATTTATAATGCTTAGTTATGACTTTAAAAAAGTTATTTCTCAAATTCATTTGTAATGCTGAAAGGATGGATGGTATGATACTGAAGACTTTAATACATCTTCTGGAATAAGGAATTAAGTTTAAAAATTATATTAATATTATGAAGTAATTAATGAAATTGATCCAGATTTCTGTTTTGCATATATGTGCATATATGAGCAGTCCAAATAAAAACAGTTGATATTTTATCAGCTCCTCTCCCCAAAAACAGCTTTAACATTTTTTTGTTCAGTCTTGGATTTACTTAATTTTTTACATACTATATTTGCTGGTTATGTCACTTCAGTTTTTCAACTTGAAACAGTTTCCATCTTTTGGGTTTGTTTTGTTCTTTTTTTAAACATTAATTTATGTGAAGAAGCCAGTTTTAGAAAGTTCTGCCTTCTGGATTTGTCTGATAGTTTCCTCATGATTAGATTCAGAATAAAGTTTGTTAGCAAGATACTATAAAATACTATGTATTTCATACTACATTATATCAAGAAATACGTTAAGTTGTTCCAGTTTATTGGCAATGAGATTGTTCACTTCGTTAACATGGTGACCATATGTCTCTCAATTTTAAAATAATAAGCACTTTGTCCTCTTACCCAACCATTTTTCACCCTGTAACTTTAACATACATAATTGATCCTTGCCTGAGGTACTGTTTTCAAAATGGTGATTTTTCTGATTTTCATTTACATGTTTATGGATGGGAACTGTAAAAAAGAATATTAGTATCCCTCAAGTGTTTCTCTGGACTCACAAATTTTTTTAAATTCAGTGTATCATTATTTTAAGCCAGCGTCTGTTTCTTTTGACATATTTTTTTGGTATTAAAAAGAAATGTCCCAGATCTGAAATCAGCCATTTCTAAAAGGATTTGGGATTACTTTTAATAGGATAATGAATAAATAACATTTGAACTCAATTGAGGATAAGTATAAGTCAGGCCAGAGTAGGAGAAGATAGTACAAAGAGAAATGAGGAACAGCATGAAATGGTTTAAGCAGTTTAAAGACATGAAGTATGAAGTTAGAGGTTAAATAAAAATGATGATCTTGTGCTTAATTTTTCATTACAGTTTTCACATTAGGAGATTATATTTACGAGTATTTCGTGCAGCATGACTAACAACAAGGGACTTAACACAGTGGATTTGAATGTTAAATATTTTTGTTTAAACTTTGAAACAGTGTCTCCCTATTTAGCTGTGGCTATGCAGCAAGACAGAAAAGCATGTTGATTTGGGATGGAGCAATTGAGAATATAGTTAAGTTTTGGTGGTCTTGAGCTTGAGTTCAGTAGGCGTATGAAAAGGAGTTTGTAGAATTCTAAAACCTAAAGTAGAGTTCTGCATTGCAAACAGATTTGGAAATCAGCAGTGTATTACCAAACAATATCATTCAGGAAAGCACTAAAGGAGAATACCAGCCAACAATGCATTCCTAATTCAGATATTCTGCAAAGAATTTGTATTCAAGAGCGTAAATGAAAGAATTTTTGGCTATAAATTTACTTCATTGTATGCTCTTTAGTTTCTGAAATAGAAGCAATACTTAGTTTTGATGATAGTATCTTATTGATAGTTCTTTCTTATATATCTAGTGGTATGGAATATCAGTGTTCTTAGTATTGCTTTCTCAATAGCTATTCTTTACTCCAGTACTAGAATGTCTTTCTAACTAAGCTTAGCTGAAATCTTAATCTACACCTTCCCTCTACGTCCAAAGGAGAAGGAAATTTTAGAAAGTTACGAACTGCAACAATACTCCTGATGCATATAAATTTCAGCACTGTGAGTGTGGTTTAAGTGTAAGAGCGCTTGTCTAGCAAGCTGAAGGCCCTGAGTGCAAACACCCTACCACAGACATAAATTAAAAAGAGAAAGAATCTGAGTCTTATATTGATGTTATCAGAGACTAGTGATGACTTACAACTTTACGTACTTTTTAATTTCCATATGTGAATTATTAGCCCTTTTATGTTTAACAATTTTACATTCTATTCCGGTATCTGCAGTTTGTTTTAGGGTTGCTGGTATGTATGTTTTGAAAGGTTATAAGAGACTGTACAAAAGCTCAAAGAAAAGTCAAAATTTATCCCATCCAACTATTGTGTCAATAAATTCAGTAATGCATTTGAAAAATAAAAATCAGTGAAGTTTATCCTCCAGAAATTGTAAGTTTTCACGAAACACAGAATTTTTTTATGGCTTGTTTTGGATTATCTGTAAATTTAAGAAACAAGGCAGGGAAACAGATTTATGGAGGAAAGTTACAATTTCTTATAGCTGTGATACTTTTTGAATTCTGAATGTTCAGTGGCAAACTTTCTGAAGTTTTTTTTTTAACTTATTGAGCTATAAAGGAGAAGTATTTAGACATCTGTTTCTATATTTATTTTTTACTAATTTAGCAGTAGTACTAGAGTTCAGGCTTGCTAGGTAAGCCACTTGATCCCTTCGCCACAATTGCTGCTTTTTGGTTTTTTTTTTTGTTTTTTTTTTCAGAAAGGACTGTTGAGACCTTTGCTCTGTCTTTAACAAACTCTGTTTCTGTTTTTAGATTGGGCTGGTTTGGATGAAGATGAAGATGCACATGTCTGGGAGGATAACTGGGATGATGACAATGTAGAAGATGACTTCTCCAATCAGTTAAGGTAGGTTTTAAGCTGAAGTTTTATTATAGTTCAGTATTAATTGTAAGCCTTGAATATGTAACTTGTATAAATAATTGTTCTCTTACACTGTACTTTAACCTTTGAAATAAATAGATTTTTGAATTATGTAAAATAAGACATTATTACGTTCTTGAAGTTTCTATCTTTTTGAATAGGACTTTTGGTCTTTCTAGTTTACAAAGGTATTTAAATTGAAGCCTGTTGGTGGTTTTTGTGAGGTTAATTCTATCAATATTGAGTATTTTGATGGAAATTAGCATTATAAAGTGCTGGAATACCATAGATTAGTGATTCCCAAATCTGAATAGAGTTTGAGGTCATGGGAATGTACTTTTTCATGTTTAAATACAAATCTACCTTATAGACTGTAATCTGGATATTTCATATAAATGGAAGAAGTTTCTTCACAAAACTTAATTTCAGAGTTTATCCATGTGATGGCAAGCATCAGTATTTTATTCCTTCTTATGGCTAAACAATGCTTCATTAATGTGTGTATGCTGGTTTTTTGTTTTGTTTTGTTTATTAATGCCCATCCTGGGGCTTGAACTCAGGGCCTCACCACTTCCAGCTTTTTGCTGGGTAATTGGAGATAAGAATCTCATGGTTTTTCCTGGCTCTGCTGGCTTTGAGCATTGATCCTCAGATCTCAGCCTCCTAGGATTACAGGCATGAGCTACCAGTCTGGTAGGTTAAACTATTTAGTTGGAGATAGTCTGGATTTTTCTGCCCAGGTTGGCTTTGAACTTCAGTCCTCAGATCCCAGCTTCCTGAAGCTCTAGGATTGCAGACACCAGCTACCAATGCCCCACTTAGCTTTTCCATTTTTGTGTAAGGTGTTTATTGTAGGTGGAATCTTAAAGAAAAGAAAAGGTCATTGTACAGCAGGGACTAGCTAGTATACCACCATTAAAAACAAATTTGATTATAAATCATTTCACTTCTCATTATAGTCATATGCTGTTAGAATATTTAATTTCAGACCTTCCAGTGCTATTCCATGTTCTTAATTTTTTCTTCTTTGATTTTTTTTTTAAATTTTAAAAATTGAAACTAAATGAATTTTTCTTCCTTTACTACTCAGCAATCAGATTTCTCTAGTTTTGTCTTTCATTGGTCATAAGAGCACCTTATCCTAAAAAAACTGTTATTGAATATAAGGTTTTTTTTTGTTTTTTATTTAATTTAATTTTATTTGTGAACATACTGTACAGAGGAGTTACAGTTACATGGGCAGGATAATGCGTACATTTCTTACCAAGCATTGCAGCCTCCTCCTTTGTGGTTTTTTTTTTTTTAAATCAGAACTTTCAGTAGTAAATACTGATCAATCGTTAGTACCACCTTTTGTCTTTTTACTGGCTTAGAAATAGAGTATAATCTGTATATTTCTTATGATGTAATGTTTCATTATATTTCCAGCTGCTCTATTTTCCAATTTGAATCATGAGGTTTTTCCCATTTAAAGTTATTGATATATTACTAGTACTGTCAAATAGAACTTAGAATGGAAATGTTCGTTAATTTACCCAATCCAATACAGTCACATATGGCTATTGAGCCATTAAATATACCTAGGGCAGTTGAGAAACTGCTTTTAAATTTTTATTTCATTTAAATAATCATATATTACTACCATAGTGAACAATATAAGCTCAGACATTCCTTCTTTAAGACATTTGTATTGATTCACAAGTCTCCTGCAGGTGTTCTTTATAAGGTCTTTATAAAATGCATGGAAGCCCTTATTATGGTATCAAAAACAGTGAAAAAGAGCATAGTTCACTGTTTTCTAACATTGTTTTATTCTAATCCTGAGATGCAGCTTCTACTTTAGTCATAGTGCCTGAGTTTCACTTTGAATCTGTTGTAATGACCTTAAGCAAGTCACTAAATGAATTGGTACTGTAGGGTATGAATAGTTGTGGTGTTTGTTAAATAAACAAAAATTCAACATATCACACTTCTCATTTGTTTTTCTCACAGTGTAATTACCTTTAACAAATAGAAATATAGTAAGGCTTTATGTGTCCAGTAATTAAGAGTCATTTTTGTTTCTGATACTATTTGTTTCTCTGCACATAAGTAAAAATAGTGTTATGAAGTATATTCAACTTGTATCAAGTCTTAAATTTTAAAAAGCCAGTATAATTATTGATTTACCATGCCAGACGTAGTCATTAAAATAAAACTGAGAACCTAGTTTTTGCCGTTTTTTTCCCCCCTTATTTTGTTTGCAGGGGAAATATGGCTGCCTTTGCTGCAGTCTATATTTATTGCATGTGTTCTCTGATAGTTCAACTGTTCTGAGCGTCTTCCCTTTTTTTTGTTTCTGTTGGGTATTTTTCATACTGCAGATTCATGATACAATGGTTTGGTTTTGTACTTTATAGCCTCAATTTATTTTATGTTTAGTTTGTTACACTTTTAAGGTTTAGCAAAAAACTTTTCATAGTCCCCAAGAATTTAGCTGATAGCATTTCATTATTTCCTTTATTTTTTATTTTTATTTTTTTTTTTTTTGGGGGGGGGGTCTGGTCGTGGGGCCTGAACTCTGGGCCTGGACGCTGTCCCTCAGCTCTTCAGCTCAAGGCTAGCGCTCTACCACTTGAGCCACAGCACCACTTCCAGCTTTTTTCTTCTTTTTTTTTTGTTTTTATGTGGTGCTGAGGAATCGAACCCAGGGCCTCAGGCATGCAAGGCACACACTCTACCACTGAGCCACCTTCCCAGCCCTATTTCCTTTATGTTAAAAGCAGGTTATACTCATAATTAATTAATTAGTGACCACTTCCCATGCAGAAGACTACACAAACTTGAAGGGTTAAGTTTGATGTACTTGTTTAAATCTTAGGTTGAATTTCTAGGGCATTGTTTTTGTCCAAATAAAAGAAATTGAATAATCTGTAGGGAGTTTATAAAAGGGAGCAGAAAGCTGGTGTTTAAGAGCGCTTTGCAATTCTTTCCATTTTAAATAGGAAAAGTATAACATTTTAGCTCGAGATAAAATATAAAGACAATTCTATATTCAATGAAGAGTGGCAACAAAAGTTTTTGTTGGAAACATTTGAGGGGCTCTATGTGATTAAAAATAAAAGCTTTTAGTTTTTATTTTAGCTTTTCCCTTCAGCCTTAGTTCTTATCATGATATTGTATTACATTTATATAACTTCCTTTCATTTAGCCCTCAGAACAAAAAGGATAAGTTGTTATAATGAAGGACAGATAATATAATTTTTAATTCCCTGAGGGGAGAGGAAGGCTCCCAAATGAAGCAATTTAGTTAAACTTACCAAAAGAGAAACCAGAGTTTGATTTGCACTGCCCATTTGTACTCTACACCCAAGCAGAAGACAGGATGAAATAATTCCTAACCTTGATAGGTCATAAAATTAGTTTACTATTTGGATTATAAATAACAAAAAATGTCAAAAAATTGAAAGAGTTTGGCAATTGAGTAATACACAGTTTTCCTATCATATGTTTCTTTGCATTGGGCTAACATTTGATAGTGTAAGAGCATCTAAGCCAATTATACTTGAGAACAAATGTTATTGTATCTTACTGCTGTAGACCATAGTAACCATACTTTACATTTATACATCTATACAGAGACTAGTCCTCCAATAGTTTTGTCTTGAACCTTGATAAAATCTGGATAGTGGTAAATGAGATGCTGGTAATATTCAAAATGATCATTTAAATAGCTGAAGTTAATTACAGGGTTAAACTTTTTTGTGCAAGTGTTTTATGTAGTTATAGCACTGAAAACCTCAGATTTAATCCACATTTAAAATTAGGCAGTTTTAATATTTTTTGACATTTATTATATTTAGTTTAACAGCATATAGGATATACAGAAAACTTACACATCTTTACATTTGTTAATGCTTTTGGTTAGAACAGTAAATATCATTATACAATCTGTTCTTTCTGTAAATAGTAACTGTGATTGTTGTAAAATTGTAAAGATTTGGTATTCATGTGTAGTCACAAGAATGTGGCTCAGTGATACAATATCTAATTAGCATGTGTGAAGCCCTGAGTTTAATTCCTACCACCACCAAAGCAGAAACAATGATTTATGTGTAAAGATTTATTAGGAACAGTACATTTGTAGTCTCTCACATTTCTTCCATAAAGCAATTTTTTTTTTTTGGTCCAGTCGTGGGGCCTGAACTCTGGGCCTGGGCGCTGTCCTTCAGCTCTTCAGCTCAAGGCTAGCATTCTACCACTTGAACCACAGCGCCATTTCTGGCTTTTTTTTTTTTTTTTCTGCTTATGTGGTGCTGAGGAATCGAACCCAGGGCCTCATGCATGCAAGGCACTGAGCCACCTTCCCAGCCAACTAAAAGGAAAGCAAAATTGTATTAGTGCCTTATTAATATGTATTTACCTTCCTTACATAAATTTCTATTTAGGAACTAAAATAAACCTATTTGGACAAGAGTTCAAGCCGGTGCCCAGGCTCAACTTATTTATTTAATATTTGTTGTATTAATACTTATAACTATTTTTTAAAACATCTGTTTCTTTGAGTTATTATAAAGAATGCTTAGTGATGTTGTTCTTTGTGTTTTATTGCAGAGCTGAACTAGAGAAACATGGTTATAAGATGGAGACTTCATAGCATCTAGGAGAAGTATTGAAGTAAACTTTTAACTGTACACTAAATTCTAGAACAGAAACCAGGATGGGATATTTCTAAAAATATGCATATTTCATTATCTGCTTGGATTTGTTTTTGTAACAAAAAATAAACATTTCGATGTAATCTTGCTTTGTAATTTGTAAAGGTGCTTTAATCTTTTGACTCTTTTTTAATTTTATTTTCATGTTTTTGATGAACTTACAATGTGACAATAAAATTCCACCTTATGAAACTTTCTTTTTTAATTTTAACGAGAGCTCAGGTTAAGTCATCTATAGCTAAAATTCTTTTTTTTTTTCTTTTTTTTTTGTCAGTTGTGGGGCTTGAACTCTGGGCTTGAGCGCTGGCCCTGCATGCTTCAGTTCAAGGCTAGCACTCTACCACTTGAGCCACAATACCACTTCTGGGTTTCTGGTGGTTTATTGGAGATAAGAGTCTCACAGATGCCTGAACTGGCTTTGAACCACAGTCATCAGATCTCAGCCTCCTCAATAGCTAGGATTACAGGCATGAGCCACTGGCACTCTGCCTTGTAGCTAAAATTCTTAAGCAACATCAATTAAATGTTGGTCCCATTTTATGGGGTACTGCTTTTACATTACATTAAACTTTAATGTCATCTGTATTTTGATAGTTTAGGCAACATTTGCTGACATTTACAAGGTGACCCTTCAAAACCTGTGTTTTTAAAATATTAATCATTTTAAATTGCTGTGATTTAGGTAGTTCCTGAGCCACTAATGCTGTTGATGAATGTTATGTGTAAAAGTCCATTGGATGTTTGATCACAGTCCTGAAAATAGCATATTCTGTTAAAATTAGGTAATTAGCCATAAAATATCAATATGTGATATTCTCAGGTACTACAGATTAATACAAAAAAGTTTCTCCATGGTGATTACTGTTGCTACATCAGCTTTTATGAGTGGGGCGTTTAAGTTGCCTACTCTGTAAAGGATTCTTTTTTTGAGAGAATATTTTCAAAATATCAGTACTGTTGAATAATTTAAAATAAAAAATTATTTAACAGTGCAATAAATAGGCACCACACTAGGAGTTAGTCATCTCAAATGTAAATCATGTGTCATAATTATTTTGAACATTAGTATGTTTTTTCCTTGGTTAGAGCTACATAATCTTTGCCCTGCCTGAGCTATAGGTGATCAGATGGAATAAGGAAAACAGAACAACTTTGGAAAGTAGAGAAACCTTATACATATAAGCAGTATTTTTATAAACACAATGAAGTATTTTTTCAAGATTCTGGTTAGTGGTTCCAGCATCACTATTAGACCTCATAATCATGGCCACCCTGACAGTACCAGGTCAGTACCCACAATAATTGTATTACTTCATGTTTAAATTCATGAGGTACAGTTTTAAACAGGAATTGGGCAAAGGCTCAAGTAATTACCTGTACTTATCCAAAGTGGGTTTATCCTTCATTACATATCAGAATTAAGTTTTGGTGGTTTTCTTTGTTAGGGACTAGCTACTTGGAAATTAGTATTTGAATAGAAATTAGTATTTGATATCATGGCAAGGAACCAAATTAGAAGTAGGAAAGAAGTGAAACAAGTTAGGTACCTGAAAAAAATGATGGAATTTACATTTTATTTTTTTTCTTTAACTTTGGGTTTTCACATTGATCCTAGTAAGCAGACAAAAGGAGCTACTTTTACCTGTAACCCCTCTGTATATCACTTTTATGATAACAGTAAATTTTTCTTTCTAGAAAGCTATTTTATCAGGTAGAAAAGTTGCCAAATAAGTTAGGACACAAAGATCCCAGGGACCCAGATTTCCTAGTTAGCGGGCAGTAGATAGCTCTAGAATCCAGAATTCTGGATTATTACTGAAAATATTGGGAAGTAATGAATTCTAGTCTTTGATCAACATTTGATTCATAATCAGGCACTTACTAGCTTTGTGTTATCTTTAATCTTCAAAACATCCTTGTAATAGTTTTCCTGTTCTGTAAAGTAGAATACCTGCAGGATTAAACTAAATCCTAAATAACATGATGACCAATATAGTAGAGACCAATCAGTAGTTGGTTTTGGTTTTGGTTTTTCTTAACTATGTTACTGCTTCTATGGAAATTTCTTTACCTCTTCTTAATAACTAGTGCTTTTGTGGTGCCTACTGTGTATCAAATGTTGGTATAAGCTATTTTATGCCCTAATCTTTGCAGCAACCCTGAGATAAGTTGTCATCTGCATTTCACAAAGAAATTGAAGCACCAAAAGGCTGAGTAATTTGCCCATAATCACTCAGCTAGGAAATGGAAAAGAACTCCTCAGGGATAAGGGACTATTCTACAAACTTGAGTTCTTCTTTCAATAGCATCTAATATAGTCTCTGATAGAAGTACTCTTTAAATTTTAGTTGAGTGGATATGTGGAGAAATGAAGTTGCTATCAATTTGCTCCATTGTAGAAGTTTTTATTGATATAGTTGTTTCTTTGAGTGGCGAGTCCTTTTTTCCCTTGTAATTTTTGTAATCTCCCAGTCATTTTCTGTAATTCAATTCCATTTGAAATCAAGTTGTAGATGTAAGAATGATCAGCATTTTTCATTAGGTTTTGGCTTAGAATTGTCATGGGATGCCATACATGCTTCATCTTATTTCAAAACACTAAATATTTATTGTAGAGAACTATCACAACCAACTACCTTTTGAAATATTTCATAATATACTAATATTTTTTATACTATGTCCTTGTCTACTCTCTACTTTTAAGACATCCATACTCTTTCTGTTTCAGTTTCCAAGTTGAGACATGTAATATACCCCATCCCTTTGGCAAAGAGCTGAAAATCTGCACCATGCTTAGTCCACCCTCACCTGACACTGGTGCATAGCTCTTCAGTTTCTAGCTATCCTAATTCCTTGCATTGTATTCCACTTCTAAATCTTAGCTTGCGTGAAGACTGTGCCTTCAGTTAACTCTTCGTAGCCACACATTCTCTAGTAATATCCAATCTCAGGTGCTTAAGAAAAAAAACATGTATAATTTCAAAGTCTCTGTTCTCAGTTGTATTGTTTCCTTGAAACTCTAAATTCATCCAGCTAATAATGATTGCCTTTTGTCTCAGGAGTTAAAGTCACAAAGACAAGTCTTGATTATCAAACTGGATCTCCCCTCCTGTCTACCCCAGCTCACCTTTTCAACCAGTTGTTGAAATTCAAAACACAACTGTAATCTCTTACCTATCCAATATGTATACTCTGCACCCATTCCTCTTTCCTCTTAAGAGATCCTCATTTCTCCACCTCAGATATTCATCCATCTTTCATGTAGGCAGTGTGCCTTAGGAGAAGCCAACAGGGACACTGCTTTCAGTCAAGGTGGGCACTGCTTAATCTTAAACCAATCTTGGGAACCCGAAGAACTCCCTTACAAATACTTACATAAGGAAAGAATAAATTTAAATAACTGGGCCAATGAAACTAAAGGAGCTAGCCTCAAAAAATGTCACACGAAGCCACTCTTGTTCCTCTTAAAAACTGCTAGTTACAATCATCTAACAAGTTTCAGGTTGAGGGTATGATTAGGGTATGATTAGGTTTGGAAGGGTAAGTTTCTTGTATGACATCTTTGAGTCTGTTCTAGGACTAGGCTTTCTGTAAACTAAGCCTACAGATTTCCTTACTTGAGACATAAAATTGGGTATTTGTGTACCTAGGAACATATTCCGATATAACCAGAATATCTACTCTTACTACTAACTAGACTCCTAGTGTATACATTGCTGATTAGGTTCCAAACTGCAATGACCTGACTGACTGCTCTACTCTTTCTCTGTTCTAAATTACTTTGCATGTTAAAATTTGAATCATGTTACTCATTTTCTTAAATGCCATCAGTACTTCTCAAAGTACTATAAAATCCAAAGTGCTTGTAAAGCCTAAAGTATTGACATATTTTGCCCATCTCATTGACAATTTTGACATGTAAAATTGTTAGTCATTTCTGAAATCAAAAGATTGCCTAAAAAGGAAGTTATTAAGCTACATGCAGTTATTTGAATATGAGTTTCTTGAAACAGGTCTTTCTACCAGTTTTTTCCTGAATGCTTGCTGTCACTTTCACAAGTCAGATCGTCCAGGAGGAAGTATTTTGTTGGCTGTCAAATGATGCAGGTTGCTAACTCAGTCTCTATATCTCATCTCTCTTTTGAGACAAGGTCTTGTTCCTTTCCCTAGTTTCCCAGTTGTTGGGATTACAGGGATGTACCACCAGGCCTAACCAACACAATGCTTTAAAAATCTCCAAAATACTACATGGTGTTTTTATTATGACAATTGTATTTCAAATGACCACCTCCTTGAGTGTCAAAGTTAATAGCTAATGGCCAGAATATTGATTTCATTTTACTCAGTATAGTTGCCTTGATGGATAGTCAGAAAGAGATGTGAAGGTTTCGTTTCATTTCACAGCAGTTTAGAATCAGAATCACTATATTGTCATTCTGGTTTTCCTTTTTATTCCATACCTGACTGCAACTGAATAAAGCTTGTAGTAACCCTGCCCACTTTCTTGTACTTTCGCTGTTCTCATAATCAATTAGAACATCACTGGTGATGGCAGCAGGTAAGAAGGCTTCTTAAATGAAGTTACTGTTAGTCCTGCACAGCTTTCTCCAATGAGGATATTTAGAATTTGATTCCAGGTCACCTGGGCCAACACTATTTACAATATATTTTCTCTCTCTCTCTCTTTTTCTCTCTCTCTCTCTCTCTCTTCTCTCTCTCTTCTCTGTCTCTCTGTCTCTCTCTTGGTCTCTCTCTGTCTCTGTCTCCTTGTCTCTGTCTCTCTGTCTGCCTGTCTGCCTGTCTGTCTGTCTGTCTCTCCTGTTTTTGTAGAGGTTTTGGTCGTTTGTTTTTTTTAGACTGAAACCCTTAAGACTACTATTGTGTTCATCTTTACATTTTCTGTTTGTGTTCTCAGAAGCAGACTTAAGATAAAGTTAAAGATTCAAGTTTTTGTAGTTTATTTCAACAAGGAAAAGGGAGGAAATAGAGCAACAAAGAGGAAAATTAATGAAGGAAAGTTAATCAATTAGAAGTTAACTCCAGGCCAGGCGCTGGTGGCTCACGCCTGTAATCCTAGCTACTC